TACCGCAGAGTAAGTATGCTTAAACGTTGAGTTGACCCGATTCTACTTTTTTATGCGTAACTTTTGAAGACGTAGGTTTAAAGAATAGGAAGAAAGCAGCTTAAACAAAACAAATAAACACAAAGGGGAAATTAGTGCTACCTAAATGCTTGAACGCAAGCTTGTGACTGAATCAGTCGACTGGAAAAAAAAACATTTTGAGTTACCAAAAAGGCCAGAAGTCATAAACAAGCTTTTAACTATGAATGGAGATTCACTAAGAACAGAGCTGCACAGGAGATTGAAGTACGGCTCAAACAGGGCGGATAGAGAAAGAAGATCCAGAGATCTTACTAATTTTAAGTATCCGAAGAGGATGCACTCACTAGAACATCGCGTTTATGGGCCTGATGTTTCATATTTTGGCTCGAACTCTTCATCAGAGACAGTTGTAGATAAAAGTTACGAGAACACAAGGAGTGCATTATTTATAAGACGTAATGGCCATGTAACCATATGGCCAAGATAAGTTGCAGCGCCCGCGTCCACTTTTAGGTTCGTATTTGATGTGAGGATATCAGATTGACAAGTAATCATGGCATCTAATAAGACCCCAACGATGAATACGCGACTTACTAATTACTGTAGACAGGTTCTTGCGTTGACACTGCGTCTTATAAATACTGTGTTGAGTATCTGTGACTGCATCTGATGATAGCTTCGAGCACGAGTGTGAAAAGTCAAGCCGATGAATTTCTCGTTCCAATGGTCACACCTTCTTCTCGAAGGAAGCTCCCTGGAACGCACGTCTGCGCTTCTATCGCCCTGCTTCTCACGCCCCCCGGGATGAGAAAACAAAAATTCACAATTGCAACCAACGTGCTTCACTTAACGTCCCGGGCTGTTAGACCGTAGTTCTGTGTAATGTGGACGTATCCATATCACTTTAGTATGCAGTCAGCTTGCCTTGGCTACAATGTGACCATATTTCCACGCTGTGCTAGCTGGCATCGTAAGTCCGATAAAACTGAATCAATAAAAGGATTTCAAGACAGAGAACAGGAGCCGGTAGACGTCTAATTCACCGCCCAGGACAGCACGCAAAAACCCATCCTAGTGTAATACGGGACTGGGTGAAATAAAGATGATACCGTTTGGAAAATACAAAGGAAAGGAAATTTAAATGAAAAAAATGAGGCTTATAGAACTAGAAGAAACAGGAAAAATTATTTAAATCATCTAATGTTTGTCAACAACAAAAAAGTGCGCCATAAGTAAAATGTGCAACTACGCAAAAACTGGTAACTGCTCAAACTTGTGGAAGAACGCAACGCAAATAAGAATTTTCGAGATGAAAGTAAAAAGAAAAAACGTAAAATGAAAGCCGCACGTCAGTAATAAGTCTAAAACTAAACTACAGGCTAACTAAATAAAGGTAAAATAGACTAAACCAACTTAACTAAAAACTAAAATAGAAATGGTAAAACATAATAATGAACTGAAAAATAAACTAACAACTGAAGTAAAATATAAATAAGTCAAACAAGTCGTTGAAGGGCAAAATAAACAGCGGCAGGTGAAGAGAGAATTGAGCTGTGGAGAGTGGTTAGCAAGACAGTTGCTAGCACGCGTCAAAACCGAAAGTGTGCAAGTGTGTTATATTCGAGTTTAAACAAAATTGGTTATTGATAAGTTTAAACAACGCACAAGTAGGGCCAAGAGCCCACAAGCTAAAATAAGGTAAAATAAAATAGTGAAGATTTTAACCCGAAAAGAAACTAGTAACCAAGACTAAAAAGTAAACGAAAACCTAGCTAAACTAACTAAGCAAAGGTACTCTACAACAAACTAAACTAACTACACTAAAAAGAAATTTAAAACTATAATAAAACCAAGAAAACTCAAGAATAAACTAAAATCAAAACTAAAAATTAACATAAAAATAAAATTAGCAATAAGTAAGTAAGAAATGTAATTCAGAAAGTTTCTCTTTTTTTATGGCGCGCTTTTAGTACCGAAAAAAATTAGATTAGCTAAACAATTTCTGGGAGGTAAATTAGACGTCTTCTCAGGAACCCTCAACATATTCAGGCGTCTTGCGTTAGTTTCTAGGAAGATGCGTGTTAGTATCAGAGATGGGGTTAATAATATGGTCAGACTTAGGGATTCGTTAGGGTTAGGGCTGGAGAAACTGGTAAGGTGTAGATTAGGGTTACTGTTCGAATAAGCGCAATGCCATCTGCATCATGCGGGGCGTTCCCATTCCCGTGTCCCATTTTGTGGCCGGAGGAAAGGTATGATAGGCACGTAAGTTTTCCTCCGCAAGTATTGGTAAAAGGGTTAGCCGCCCCGCCTCTTGTCTGCACGAATATGGCAATGAGTACCGAACAAGTGAAACATGACACCCTAATAGAGCGGCTTGGCGATAAAGAGAAAAGCAGGCACTAATGTTACGATGCTAGAGGACATAATTGGCGTTTTCTCATTACGGTTTCGAACAGGCGCCGTTGCCGCAATTGGAGACCCACTACGCATTACTCCGTTAGTTGGGAGCTGATAGATATCCGCCACCCAAATTCGCATGCATACCTTGTTGTAGCAAGACTGGCGAGTTATTAGTCAGCATAGACCAAAATAGAGCCACCCCCTCCCTACCTCCCTCGCCAGTAATTTAATTTAGTTTAATGCA